TAAGTTTAATGTTAACAGCCTAACCTAAAGCCCTAAAGCTTTAACTCTGTTAGATGAGTACTTTTGGCACCATTTCTTGTTAACAAAGGAAAACATCATGGTTTAAATCAAATCGAGGGTAGGACATGTATTTTGCACTATGTTACCTTCATTGCAGCAGGTATTTCAGTTACTCTGAAAGAATCTATAGAATTAATTAGTCTGCTCCTTGTTATGCAACAGAAAGGAACAGTTTTTTTATTCCTGTCCAGAACTGATTTTGGTCCTTCCAGCAGCTGTATTTTCTTCTGTTCTACTCAAAAAATGTAGGACAGACAATAATAGTTTTTAATCTTCCTGCACATCTTGGAAACATTTTTTTAAATTATTTTCTGCCAACCCACTTCTACTGAGAGCTTTCACATGATTTGCAGCTAATGTAATCCTACATTTTAAAGAGGATGGATTACAGAGAATTATCCTCCTGGTTATATTTCAAGTGGTGAAAGGAACCTTTTTGTTTTCCCTGATACAGTTTTATTTCAGAGCAGCAGCCTAGAAACAACTATGCCTTTATGGTCAGTTCATGCCTTTGGTCACACCACCATTTGACTAAAAGGAAGAGACAACTTTAAGGCCCCTTATGTTTTTCCCTATTTCCTTTCATTTCAGAAGTAGTAAAAACAATTTTTTTCCATAAACCTGTATTGATGTTATCATGTGATTTACTTTCTCCTGCTTGATTTCATTTCTTTTTTGACTGTAAGTTCATTCAGCCTGGTACTATAATATGCCACGTTTATACAGAGACCAGATACAATGGGGACTTCTTTTTACTTCTCTCATTTTACTTTGTTAACAAAAAAAAATAGCAGCAATTTCCAATTCCTGTCCTCTTCCCTGTTATACATCAGAGGTAAGGGAAACAGTCTGTTTCATTAGTTCTTCACTTGCTTTCCTCCTTCACCAACCCATACTCTTGGCATCAAGGAGTAGAATAAAGATGCCAAATAGTTCCTCTCTTTCCTACACCAAAATCAGCTTCAGGTAAATCACATGTGTAAACGTGGATTTCACTGCTTTGTGGAAATCTGTACTGTAAGGCACAGATATTTGGTACCCTGTTCCATTTGCTGGCAAGAAACAGTCTCTCAGTTCAGCCATTATTAAATATTTTGCACATCATGGTCAACATATCTTTGGCCAAAAGGCAAAGTATCACTCTTTTACATGCAGTAGAAGTAGTTGGTGAGAAGGATTTATAGACAATGTTGCACAAACATTTCCATCCATTTCCTGGCTAAAGGACAAGAGCAATCTTCATGATCTGGTTTCATGAAAAAAAGAGAGAAGTATTGGTACTTACAGCCCTCTGCTCTTCCTTGGTTTAAGAGGTGTTACCACATATACTTTTGACAAACATTTTTGTTTTGTCCTGCTTTCCTTACTTATTGCAAACACAGATTTTTCAGTGAAAATGAAAGCACTAGCATATCACTGTCTACATTCTAGCTTCTTCAGTCAAGGAAGGTGGAAAACACTTCTTTGCTGAACCTCATATGTGAATAAAAAAAACAAAGAACTCAGCCTTCAAGACACATGAACAACATTTTAGGACAATATGTATTAGCTCAAGAAGCTGTTCCAGAGGTTACACAAGCTTTGTAATCTAACCAACTTCACCATGAAACTACATATCCTAACCACATGCAAAGGCCCTGGCTGTGTAGTAAGAAATAATGGATTTTTGCACTAAGAAACATGGGATATTACCTAACTAATACAGGATATTGCCTAACTTCTTTTATAGAAATTATGGTACCAAAGATGAAGAGACTAAGAAAGTAACTGAAGATTAGTATTCCAAACTTTGAAAAATTACACTCTTTTTCAAAATCTTTTACAAAGGTCATTACACGATAATCTGAAGCTGTTTCACAACTATTTTGTCCAGTGTAATAAAATAAAGTTATATAGTCTCCAGCCCTAAAAAAAGCCAGAACTGCTGCTCCAGTCAATAATTAGTCTCAGATAGTCATCTCAAATCTTGTCAATCTAAAAGCTGATTTTTGCAGAACTTCTCAGGTTTTAAAATTGAGTAGTAGGGTGTGTAATATAGGCCAACGTGTTGTGTTGTTAATGTATCCACTTAAACCAAGCACTTCCATTTTCATAACACTGCTTATGTCTTTGTTTTCCTCTCACAATGGGAAGAGAATCCCTATCATTTGCCATGGAAATAATTTCTAGTTCCTTAGGAAGATGACCTACTAGATTTGTTACACTTGAAAAAGACCCAAACTTACACACTTGGTGCTCGACATATTTCTAGGCATGCTTTGATGCACAAACAACTGCCAGCTTATTTTGTATGAAAGCATAAACTACACTAGATTGCTTGGATGTAGCCAAAATAGGCATCAATTGATGTTTGTGTTCAGTAACCACAAACTTAGTTCAGCTAATTAGAGCATGCTACTTATAACACCAAGACTGTGGGATCAATCCCCACATGGGCCATTTACTTAAGAGCTGGACTGGATGGTCCATGAGGGCCCCATCCAAGTCAGGATATTCTGTCAATCTGTGAAACCCAGTAGAAATCAAGGCAAATATGCATTCAGATGATGATTTCCAACAACGCATAAACCAATGCCAAAGTGAAATGCTAAGAAAATAAGATTTCCTGGTCCATTGATCAAAGCTATTGTTAATTAAACAAAAAAAAAAAAAAGAAGACAAGGCTATATCTGGAATGGAAACAGCAAATCTTCCATTCTGGAGTCTCAGCTGTGCTACATAAACATTTACAGTGGCCACAAGCACCCGTTTTATTATTGCTCAAGTATAATATTTGATTTGGACAATTTGAGAGGGAATTAATAGAACAGCTCTTTGTCCATATAGAAGAAGGAAATGCAGTTCATCTGTCAAAAAAAATGCTCTGCACTTTCTTGCAACTTGGGGCAGAAGATGATGAATTGGCTATTTTCTGCCACAAGAATTTATCTGTTAACAAAATGAAACATTCATATTGTACTTAAAGTGCATTATGAGTCACAGGGAGGATTTTTGCATCAATAATTATTTCTTGGAAGCTAGAGTTAGTTGAAAGCTGCTTAGATGCAGGAAAATTAAAACATTGGCTTGCTCACCTCCAGGTGATGTTCTTCAACTGTGCCAGAATTCTGTTTGTGCAGCTGTTGTACTGCTTTTAAAGTAGGTGAAGAATGAAATCCCTTCATGACTTATTAAGTTTGTTGGTTTGTATCTCTGGGTCAAGCAAATTTTTCTCTAGACTGATCTGGAGCAGATAATTCTAGGTTTTCTCCGGATTATGAATAGACTGTTCTCACATGCCACCAAGATTATTTGTAAGTGATCTTTAATAAAGAGACAGAAAACCCTAATAGATTGCCAAGTACAGTTCTCAGCATAGTTGACATGAATATTTCTCGATCACCACATACTGGATCTGCCTTGAAGAAAGCAAGCAATTTTATAATGAATTGGCTACTTCCTGTCTCAAGGGAACACTGCAGTATCCTGAAGGTCTTACTGTCCATATAAATCATATTGTATATATTATGCCAGATAACCAGGATGCAGAAGTCATTCCTTTGTTTTCCCTTTGGTGGATTAGTCTTATCCATTAAGCAATTCTGCATTTTCAGGACCTGTCTGGAATCAACCTGCAGAGGGGATCCACACATGGATGTGGCACTTAGGGACATGGTTTAGGAGAGGACTTTGGCAGTATTATGGCAGGTTTATGATTGGACTTGTTGATCATAAAGGTCTTCCCCAACCTAAATGATTCTATAATCTGACTCAATTCAATCTGAAAACTCTATATGACTAAGTTTATATATGGGGGTTTGTGACAGACCAGTGCAAAAGAGCAAACAGCAGAGACCAAAATGACCCACAATTCTTAAAGAAAGTATTTGAACAACCCTAAGAATTAGATGGATGATGTAAGTCCACAAGATTTTTACACTTATTTTTGCAGTAGTTGCTTTAATAGTCTTTAATATTTTTATATTATTTTCCATAAGACAATTCTATTCCAGCAGTCAGGCACTCATGAACACTACAATAAAAAATTTCCTAGCACTGAGCACAGTGAAAAAAAGAAACAGTTTCAGACTCATGAGGGATTATGATAGATAAACAAGGCAAAAAAACCTTAAACAATTCTGAAAAATCTTGAGTTTCTTTAAAATAAATAGTGCACAGCAAATGAAATAAAAGATACAAAGCTGAAGTCACCAACCATCAGGGTTGGTATCTTCTAAAGTAGTGTTGCAGCCCAGGGGCTATGGAATACTCCAAGCCATTCCTTGACAGCTGCAAGCAATAGGACAGTGGGAAGTGAAGCAGTACAACAAACCACTGCTGGAGGGCAGGAGAAATAGGACCAAGCATTTTGTGTTGCCTATGGCACGAACTCCATGAGGAACTGAATATTTTAAGACTGCATTATCACTTTGCTTTTATTTCAAAATCGTGTACTTCTTTCAGATCTTGCAGAACATACAGAGGACTATCACATAATCCTCAATTTTCAAGTATGTAAAGCTGTTTCATGAACAAATTGTTCTATATTTACTCCAAGTTGACCTAAATTGTTATAGCTCACCATGGAAATATTTCCAGTGGCTAGTTCTCCCCATCTATAGCTATTAGTCAAGGTGACATAGGAAGTGTTGAAATGGCAGATCTTGTTAGAACACTAATAATAAAGAAGTTAATAATTCTGCAAGTTAACTTTATGACCAATTAATCATATGGTGTGAGGACTGCTGGAGGCATTCTATTCCAGATGCATATCCTAATTTACCTGCACTAAAGCACATCTCAGGAAGACAGCTTTGTTTTTGAAATATAAAGCATGCAGAAAAATAAAAAATAAAGCATGCAGAGCTAAAACGAAGTCGCTTTTGGGCTACAAAGAATTCAGGCTATGAAATAAAATCTTTTGCATTTCACAGGTGTTCTACAATGCAGTGCACTCTTACCTCCATGGGAAAGGCCTTAAAATTAACAGTGTGTTCAGAACCACGCTGGTTTTCTCTCCCCCAGTGAAATCGAACATCGTGCAGTTCAAACTCGTGTCCCCGAGGTAATGGCCCCCCTATTAAGACTGGGAAAGAAAATAAGTGGTAAAGAACTTGTCTTTTGAAGCAGACTAGACACTGAATATATTCTCCAAATACAACAATGAGTTTGTGGCAGTCTTCTACCAGAAAGGAGAAGAGTTGACAGACTTGTCACCTTTACTCCTGAAGAACCTTGCAGGTACAGAACAGTAATTAAGGCAGTTATGAAAAACAGTAAAACTGCTGTCATACTGAACTCTTAGTTTTATGATGCAGAACACCAAATAAAAGAATTGTACCTTTACCAGTCAGAAGAGGGAATGTTTATTTGTCTTATCAAGACATTAACTGTGTGCTCTAAACAGATGGCAGGGGCTCTGAATTGAACTGGGAAGTAACCTCCAAGTTGTCCAAATGCTTAACCTCCATCACCTATATTTACTATGGATCACAGAAATGGATAGAAAACTTTTGATTGCAAGTATTTTCTAGGTAAAGGTGTTCAGTCATATACCACCTGTCAGGCTTCTGAGATACTGAATACCTCCATACCAAAATATAATCAAACCTACACACCAGAGAAAAAGCAGCATACGTCATTTGCTTAAAAACAGCTTCTAGGCAGCCATGGGTTTTCCTTACTTCTGTTTTTTAAACATCTGGAATTTCTTAAAAGCATCTGTCCACAATCACAACACAGCACAAAAAAAAATTATATAGTCAGTACATTCGCATTGAGACTTCCACCAGAAGTAGTAAAAGCAAGCAACTGTGAGGCCCAATCTGCTATGGAATTAATCAAGGAAAACATTTCGCCCAGGGATTTCTGAATCTGCTTTAGATCAAATATTACACCATAAGCTGGAGGTAACTTCCCACTAAAATCATTGATATTGACTTCTAGGCAGGGCTGATTTTTATTTAAGGGCATTCACAGTCTTCCTCAGAAGCCATTAAATTCTAGCTTATATTTCATAGATTTGGAATTAATCTTTTACAATCTCTGATAATTGATAAGGATTATTGCATGAAATATAGCCTTAGGGAATTACTTCCATAATACACAGCTATTTTGACACACAAACTATACTGCCTGAGTTTGGAGCACAATAGGCAGTGCAATACTAAAACATCAGTTAGCAATTGAATCATGTAACAACTGTACAAACACAAAACCAAAGGTATGGAACTGTAAAAAACTGAAAGAAAACACATCAATTATGGTTTTCATAAGCAATTACACTGCAAGAAAAAAAAGTCAAATATTCCAATTAATCCTTCTTTAATAATTCTCTACAGCTAATTTAATAGCCTTAAGAGTTTCTAAAATGAAATGTACTAAATGTAGTTATAGATTCAGACTTGCTTCTTAACCTTGTTTTATCTATATTCTGTCTATACCTATATCCCCTAAAAGGAAAATCTACAAATCTGGTGAACACTCGCACAAACAACCCATTGAAGTATTTAGAAAACTAGATAATAAATAAATAAAAAGAGTCATGATACTCAATTAGTGCTCAATTAGGACAATAATGTAATAATAATAATCTCAATTAGGAAAATTGAGCATTTTTTCTGTTTTAAAACATTGCTCTGAGAAAAACTGTAACTAGAAAAAATGTTCTCTATATGATGTAGTTCTGGATCTCCAGGAACTTCGAGTTTATTTCCAAGGCTTCAGTTAGGACATTGATCCCATGATAAAACTACTTCATAGTTGGTCATGGTTCTTCCACCTAATGTACAACACATATTCTACCATCAAAATGAAAGCAGCTGTGAAAACGTTTGCAATTAAATAATGAGAAGGATTTGAGAATTCCATATGGACTGCATGTCTTGAATCAAAGGATAGAAACATTCACCAGTAATGACAAATTTATTTTTAATATGTATCTTAATCAGTTTACTTTTTTCCATAAAGGAATTTTTCTTTGATTGTGCACATTAATTGGATAGAGTTTCAAAAGCATTCAGTGCTCAATAATGCTCAACAAAATAATCTGGCTAAATGGATTTGTCATCAGAGATCTCCTGTGAGGAAAAGAAACTGCAGGAGTTTCTGAAATCCCTGAAAAATGGCCAGATTACTAGGCCAGGTTCAAACACAGCTTTTTAACTATTTTATCCTCTTGGTAGGTTTAATAAATGCTGTCTTCTCCCTCCCAAATTATTGCCAGTTTACAACTGGAAAATGGGAAATTATGTAACATTAAATCTAAGGAAAGCTGAAACTAAACCAAGATTTCCTAAATCATAATTCCATACTTCAGTCATAAACTTTTTCTCTATTTCACATTTTCTTGTAATTCAAGACTCATCCATCTGGCATCACATTGCATTCAAGTATAAAGGAAGTCTTTCCTTTTTTCTAATTCTCTTAATAGTTTTGCAAAGGCATTTAGGTGCGTGAGTCCCGTCTTATTAATTATCACTACTAAGTTACAAACTGCTCTGGGGAAAGGCAGGATGGAAGGAGTTGCATTTTAGCATGCAAATGATGAGATCACTTGTGGTCACTCTCACTTCCTCCACAGGAGAATTCGAGAATTCCTAATCCTGCAGGGAGATCCTTATCCCTTGGGAAAAGAACTCTGCTTCTGATGAAGGCAGTAAAACTGACTGGAAGTACAACATTTCTCTTTTATTGAAAACCTGAAAAATTCCCTGGAAAAAAATGTTCTTTATTGCAAAAATACATGGAAATTATCATAGAAAGGAAATTATAAAGGAAAGTATCATTATTAAAATAACAAACTCTTCCTTTTTAAAAAACTGTGTAAAACTGAACTGACTCCCTATATTAGCACAGCTGTAGTTCCCAGTACTACTGAGTTCTCAGAAGGAAACAAAAGTTGGAATATCTCATGGTTTAACAATGTTCAGCTGTTTAAATGCCCCCAAAGGGCTGTTACTAGCTAAGACTGGTTGGAATAACATGGAGGCTCTTCCAAACACATGGTAAGAACTACTGCAGTGCTGGAAAGCAAAATGGACTTTTTTTCCTCCCAACTTTCTTGCCTCCTTCACACAGAATTATTTACCTAAATGAAAGGTCTGGATAAGACATTGCAACTTCACTTATGTTTGAATAGTTTCTTTTATTATTTGCTTCTAGATCATATTTGATGAGCAACACCAAAAATGTCATCCTTTAAGAAATGAGGACTGCCTTCTACTTGGTCCTCATCAATACTGTGAGGATGTATAACTGGTGTATCTGTCTTAAGCTGTCCAATTCTGTACTTAGCATTCAGAACCCACTCAAATTAATGGGAAAAAACACTTTTAGCTTACATAGTCTTTGAACCATAAACAAATCTTGCCAGCTGTACAGAACAGTTTGGCACTACACTGTCTTAGCAATAGGCTGTACTGCTTCTGAGTGCAGACAGCTGTTAATGGCAGTGAATCGGATACCATCACCACAAGAGGAAATTCTGGGCATGCTTCGAAGCAATCTCACTGACCATCCTGACTGGCACCAAAATTTGCAACTCCCATTGCAACACTTGCTCCTCTTCCTACCAAAGTCAACATCAATACTCTCACCGGGCATAGTCCATGCTGAATGGGCACAACTGCTTGCTGCTGGGAAAGGCTGCTTTTCCTAAACTCCAGGACATGAGTACAGTGAGTCTTCAGGCAACACAAGCTTTAGCCGGGAAGATCAAGGCCGTGTTTCAGCATACCTGATTTTGACTTCAGGGCAATCTGAATCGAATGCCCGTCGTTGATCACTTCGCAGTCACGACACACCACGTAGTTCGGTGACAAACGCACTTCCAGGAGCGAGGGGTCATACTTAGCTTCTCTTGAGTTCAAGTTGATGGGCGACTGGTACTCCCCGTTAGCATCAGGGAAAATGAGCCCCCACTCCACTCCTGAGGCACAGGGAAAAGCGGTTACGGGGGGACCCGGCAGACCCTGCCGGGCCAGGAAAGGAAGGGGCAGCTCGGCCGGACCCGGCGGCCCCGCGGCCGCTGCCCTCCCGCCGGCGGGGATGGATGGACGGACCTGCCGCCGCTGCGGGACGGCGCTTCCCGCTCCCGGCGCCTCGGGACGGCCGGGCAGCGAACCCCGCCACTGAAATCCCCACACCGCCTCCTCCCCTGGCCGCGGACAAAGTTTCTCCCCGGCGCAGTCGCCACCCGCTCCTCACCTTCCTCGTAGCCCCACTCCGGAGGCTCCTCCCGGCGCGGCAGGGGCTCGGCGCCCTCGATCAGGCTCCTGTCAGCCATGGGCGGGCTGTGCCGAGTGCGAGCGTGTGCGGGGCGAGGCGCTGCCGGCGCTCGGCTCCGCGCCCGGACCTCCCCCCGCCCTCCGCCCCCGCCCGCGGGTGTCGGCGAGCGCCGGGGCAGGGGCAGGGCCGGGGGGCCGCGGGCAGCACCGGGAGCTGGGGCAGGGCAGGGGGGCCGCGGGCAGCACCGGGAGCTGGGGCAGGGCAGGGGGGGCCGCGGGCACCACCGGCAGCCGGTGCAGAGCCCGGGGTACCGCGGGCAGCACCGGCAGCCGGGCGCTGGTCTCTGGTCGCTGTCCCAGCGGCGCGACGCGGCGAGCCAGAGGTGAGGTGAGGTGAGGTGAGGTGAGGTGAGGCGGCAGCGGCCGTGCCCGGCGGGACGCTGCTCCCCTCAGCCTCCCTGCGTCTCCCTCGCCGTCCTCCGCAGGCCGCTTCCCCAGCCGCTTCCACCCAGCCCGGGTGGGTGGGTGTCTCCACAGCTCCCGCTGCCACTCCAGCTGGACACAGGTGCTCTGTGCAGCCGGGGACACCCAGGGAGAGCAAATTCAACAAGGCGAAGGGCAAAGCCCTGCCACTGGGGAGGAAAAATCCAGGGACAGGTGAGGGGCTACCTGACTGGAATGCAGTTTGGCATTGGGTGGATGGGTGCCACCCACCGTGGGTCCTGCTGGGCATCAGGTCAGACATGAGCCACCAGTGTGCCCCTGCTGCAAAGAAGGTGAAGGTACCTTGGGCTGTTTTAGGCAAAGCAATTCCAACGAGTCGAGGGAGGTGATCCTGCTCAGCACTGGCGAGGACACACCCGGGGTGCTGGGTTCAGATCTGGGCTGCTCCAGTACAGAGAGACATGAACACACTGAGAGAGTCCAACAAATGGTCATGACCGTGGTTAAGGTGCTGGACCATCTCTCCTATGAGGAAGGGCTGAGAGCTGGGACTGTTCAACTTAGAAAAAAGCAAGCTCAATGGGATTTCACAGATGTGTACAAACACCCGAAGGGAAAATGCAAAGAAGATCTGCCAGGCTCTTTTCAGTGGGGCCCAGTAACAAGACCAGTGGTGATGGGCACAAATTGAAACCTCCCATGTTTCAATTTGTGCCCATCACCACTGGGAAAGCATTTTTACTGTGAGAATGACTAAGCCTGGCACAGGACCCCAGGAGGTTGGAGAGTTTCCATCCATGAAGGTATTATGCTTGAGCAGGTGATTTGAACAAAATGATGTCCAACAGTTCCTTCCAACATCAGCCATTCTATGACTGTGTTTACTTCTTTTCACTGAGCACTGAGTCCCTTCTGTGGAGGAATGGAGACCCTCAGTGAGGATAAGGAAGCTGCTGAATAAGGAAGGGAGCCCACTTCTGCCCTTTCTATCCTAAAGGAATAAATGTGGCATCAATTCCCACTGAAAATTATATAAAAATGTGGGGTTTCAGGAAGTTCTCTCCCCAAGATGAAGATGCCTCAGTTCAAGGTTATAAAAGGACTCTTCATTCTCCCTTGAAAACAGCCATGTGTGAAACTAGAGAATATTCATTCTGTCAGGGGAGAAAAGGACAGAAGGGACCTCTGTTACAGAGATCTCTTCTAGGCAGTGGCCCAAAAAACTTGCATCAGTGACAGGAAGGGAAACGAGAACATAGTACTGACAGTCTGCAATCCCTGACAGCAATAAGAAAAGGTAACAGAGGCAGTCAAAGAGCACTGCTATAATGGTAAGAAGTGCCTGTTGTTTACCATCCTACTTAAAGACCATCCACTTAAAGACAGTGACCAGACCTCCCCGAATTCTGGTATCCTAAGATGATAACATCTTGATCCTTTGTTGTTGATATACAAGTTTTGATCTCAGTGTGGGGCTTATCATGCTTCAGTTATCCCCAACTCAGCAGCAGTACCTGTGATTCCTGTGCAGCACTGACAGGGGAGCAGAAATTATCATCAGTGTGAGTGTGAGATGAAAAAAGAAGGACTGAGATGAAACTTCATTAATGAAGCAAGAGACTACTGGTTCATGAGCTGCATGCAATGTGAAAAGAAAATAGGGCACAAGAAGTAGACTTTACCAGTCTGGGTTTTTCAAGAGCAGAGAAGAAACACATATTTCCTTCTGCAGTATCATACTACCCAAATTACAACACAGTGCATTTCATTGAGGAAAAAAAACCCAAACAGACATTTTTCATGTCTTGAGTATCTGACATCAACACAAACAGAAAACTAGGGTATTTTCAACATGCATTTTAGTCACATGAGGTACCATGTTGTATACACATACTCATCTCTCATAGTCAGCTGGCTTTATTAAGTTGTTAAAATTTTATCATCTACTCACTTCTAAAACACACACCAGCTGCTTCTCTTAATGTAGATTCCTTTGAATCATTGTTCAACCATATGGGGAAAAAAACAAACATTACCCTAAATCATCATCAGTTCTGGTCCATCTGACTGGAAATTAATTTTCTTCTTCAAAAAGCGTATTATATTTTGGAAATGAACCAAACAGTCTTAGGAGGCTGGGTTCATCCCCTTAGCCCTTGAAATATGGTATTTCATTCATTCATGCTCTCTATTTAAAGTCCTTTCCTGCAGTAACCTTCCTGTGGGATGTCTGTTCTAGAATTTGCCCCTCATGCATATGAGGGGCAACTTTATCAGACCTGTGAGTTCCTGTCTTGCAATAAATTCTTTTCATGACTTTGCCATATATTTGTTGCCCTTCCTTTTAACCTTTCAATTCTTTCCATATCCCTCTGCAAAATTACACATAGCAGGTAAATCCTTACTGAATAGTTGACATTTATTTATTCCCATATGTCTGCTGTGTAGTTATGGTGCAAATATCCTGTTTCTTCCTTAGTATCTATCAGGCACTGCATGATGTAATCAGATTAAATTCCACTGAAGATTCCTGGGACTTCTTTAATGGTGAAGTATGTAAGTAACAAAGGAGTTCACTTCTCTACAAGGAAATGGAGCATGGGACTGAGCCCTCACATTAAACTCCAATCCCAAAAACAGATATTGACCTTACTGATCTCTGCACAAACCAACTCATTTGTTTATGGACCCAGCTTCAAGTAAAAGGATTGAGAATCAGATGGAGATAGTGGCATGATCTAAGATTTGTTCAAGATCAGTAGGATTTGATCTTCTTTAATGATGTAGGCAAATGTAAAACTGTTTGGTGTAGAAGCTCCCAATAGTTGAATTTACAATAAAAAGGTGTTAAATATATAACTGCAATACATATAAATGCACTCTTTATTCTGTAAAAGTGCATTGCCCATGATGTTTGCTACATTGGCTCAACAAACTGAAAAATCTGGATAGGTATAGTCACGGCCCCTAAGCTAATATTAAATTGCTGAACAAAAAGTAGGAGAAGCTCAGTCAACACAACCTTCATAAGTGACATAACACCTCAACAGAAGCAGGAGCAGGACATCTCTCCCCTGAATCCCAGTCACTCTTTGATTCTGTGGAACATGCTGACTTCTTGTTTAACTGGGATTAATGATCACACCCTTTGATAGTACCAGGAATAAAAAGCTCAAACACAGATCCAGGGCTTAATAGTTCCTCTTTGAACTCACACAACGGTAGTTCAGAAGCAGTGTAGTCTCTGACATTCCTTTTGTCAAACAAGAAAATGGCATTTTGAAACATGTTAGTATAATACTTAATCCTGGTGAGATCCCAAGCAACTATTATTCTGTTTTCTATATCTAGATGTACTTTTTTGTTCTACATTTTTATTTTTTCAGAAGATAATATATCTTCCCCAAACATCTTGAAAAGTATATACTGGGAGAACTGGGCCTGAACCAATATTCTCCATCCAAACACTGAAAAATTTGTATGTGACAATTGTCATTAATGACTGGCAACTTTTTTTAAGAAGTTATGTGTCCACAACTTTACTTACTGCTTTCACCACTCTGAAAAGGGAGATTCCAATGCAGAGAACTGTACAGATTACTAAGAAATCTATGGGGAAAAAAGAAAAGCAGAGTTACATACAAGTTATTTTAGACTATACATTCCTACCTGCATGATTCTTTGCAGCCACAGAGCTGACAGTCATTTCCTTGGTGCAAGGGATGAGAAATTCAGACTCTGAGATTATCATATTTCCTGTATTATCTACTTTTTTCTTTATTACATTGCTGCCAACATAGAGTAGTTGAGGGCATGCAAGATTTAATATTTTGATAAGGAGGAAGTTGTTCGATGGAATATTGGAGCATTCCATTTGAGGTAATTTAGAGTCTGTTTATGCTTCTGCACTCTGTTCTTGCCAAGGTGTCCTGAAAGAAAAGGCAATGTCCATACAGCAAGACAGGCAGCTGAAGGGACCTGGACCATCTAGTTTTTCCAGTGAATAGGGCTTCCTATTTTTCTTCCTGTGTTGACTATGAGGTTGACCAGCAAACATCTCCCACGTGGTTTTGTTTCTATCTTTATTTCTTGCCAGATTATGCTCTCAAATAAGTATGATTCTTTTCCAAGTTTAGAAGTGTAAGCACAGAGTTTCTTTTTTTTTTGAAGCACAAGCTTATATGTACCAATATGGAAAATCTCTCTGCACATTTTAAAAGGAATTAGTTAATTATAAGGAATAATATCCCAGTATTTCTGAAATAATAATATTTGCCTATTTTTATTTTCTTCATCTGTAGTAATGCATTACAGAACTGAAATTTGGTTGGGTATTTCAAAGAGTCCAAGATGAAAAGGTAAAGGGAAACCATTTCCAAAAAAAGGGGCCATTTGTAGCAAAAATAAACTATTCACAGTGAAAGACACTGTATCTTTGCAATTCAGGTTTACATTGGCAAATGCCATCCTGCAAACATTGCAAAAATATCTCAGCTGAATCCCAGTTTTCTCTTACATCTACACCAAAGAGTGGTTTCCATGGCCTTGTGTGTTTTTATGGTCTGTAAGTGTAAATTTGTGCTTCCTGGTTTTAGCAGCTAGTAGGACAGAAGGCTGGCTCTGCACACACTTCACATGTTTCACTTTACAACGTGCATGGTCTGGGTGGGGAATTTAAAGATCAACATATTGATCTGCAAGTGTGTACAGATGTTTATAACAGTATAGTTATAAACCTTTTACATGCCCAAGAGATTAGAGGAAAATGGGAACAAGCCACAAACTTATGGGCATAATTGGTGTGTATTCTCTCGGCATCCAAATATGTAAAACAGGACTATTATGGCTGCCCATGAGAATTTAGACATACAGCTTGAGGACACTAAAACTACAGGGGGATAGTGTTTTTAAAAAGTCAAACTTTTTAAAGAAAACACAAATAATAGTAATTTTTAAGGATTGAAAAAACTACTATCAAAAGGGAACAGAAGAAATAATAATAAAATACAGTGTATTTAAGGGCACACTAAAAAATTTATAGAGTAATCTACATAGTCTCCTGGAGCTTTTCCTTCCCCCAAAAGGATGGAGTCCTGGGAGAAAATGTGTAAATAATTACAAAAAAATAGTAGAGACAACAGGAATTGCTGATGAAGCAAAGTAAGCACAAAAGTAAAGTGAATTCCTGAAGACAACAGAGGACTAGAAGGGAAGTGAGATTTTTTCCTGCTACCAGGCAAAAAGGAAAAGGCAGTTAAAGGATGAAATAAGATGTCTCTGAAACAGAGAATGCAAATAATTGAATGCAGACAATCAAGGGCCCTGACATGGCAAAACTCCTATTTCTTTATTTCTTTAGGAAGGAAGCAAAACTAATGATACACCCAGATGCCAATTAAAGGAAGAAGATGGAAAGCTCAGGGGGAAAATCTGAAATAAGGAGATGATAAATATGTATTTACCTAGCTGTAATAATTTCAGATCTTTAACATTATATGAGATTGTTGAAGGATTATGAATTTCATCTAATAGCTATTGAAAAGGAGTGTCTCTTTATCAGTGGAACTGATAGATGTTAAATCCACCACTTGCAAATTAAATGTTTCAAAGGGAACCACTGAATCAGGGAAAGATATAATACCTGCTATAGTTTAAAATAAGAGGAGAGGATGAGCTAAATAATGGGCCTGATCATATTTTTCACTAGAAGAGCACAAGCAGGTGTTGGCTTACAGGTGTTGGCTTTTCAGCTGGGAAGTTTGTGAGAAAGAGGAAGCACTGATTAGCATGAAGTGGCAAGGAGATAACAACATATTTGAGTCTGTAAAATGATGGTGAGAAGAGTGTCAGTTCATCATTCATTCTATTAAGTTTCACTTAGCAATGTGCCAACATCCTTAGCTGGTAAAGTGCTCGTGTGCCCTGTTCTGGAAAAGCTATGAAATCCAACATTCAGAGCACAATCTGTCTTTCTATATCATAAGCTATTACCTTTCACACAATTGCTCATGTATTAAGTTAATTATTTGGCTATCAATAAATAATAACTTGTGTTTAGCCACAGAACATTTTTCAGAAATGCCTGACCTGAAGATGTCAAGACATGAAGAACTCATTACTTTGAGAGCTCGTTCCAGTGGTTAATCTCTTTCAGTGTTAACTAATGGGTATTCAATTCTAATTTGAATTTTTCTGGCTTCAACTTTCAGTTCCTGTTATGCTTGTTTGCCTTGACAGGAGAGCCTTTATTGCTTTGTGTTTTCTCTCTAATGTACTCACCTGTGTTAGTCTGGCCACCTCTGTTAGGTCTAAACAAAAGGAGCTCATTAACACTTACTAGAGTTAAGAGCAAGATATCTTGGGTTTAACTTTTTTCTGCACATTCTCCCGTTTTTCACATTAAAAATGGAACTCTCCTGTGTAGCTCTTGTTTCACCTCTAGGTACACATTTATTTCTTTTTTATCTGCACATTTAGGATTCACATTAGGCTTTTTTTTTTGCTGTTGAATCAAGTATTGGCTCTCTTGTTTGCTGCAATTTAGTATAAAGATTAAATCCTCTTTGTGAGTCAGGGTATCCAGGAGCCAGTCTACAGAATGTGGACAAACTGCATTATAACTTTGCATTATGCTGACTCAAAATGCCATTCATTTGAATGAGCCCTAGTTTCCTTTTTAATCAGTTTTTTTTACAAATCATATGCCTCAACAAATCTGTAATCTCATTATAGGTTTCTTTGACAAGGCACACTTCTAGTAAAACTATTGTCACTAGCATCAGTCCTCTACATCAAGTTTTTATGACTGTAGTCCCATATTTCTTGTATTTTCCTGCTACTTTTTCAAAATAAATTACCTAAATTATCTCATTTCTCTATTTTTTTCTATAATATTTACATAATGCTAACATTATTTATGTCTTACAACATTTTCCTGTATTTGTTAAAAAGGATCTGTACAGCCAGCTCTTGTAAAACTCCAGGGTTCTGCAAGACCCTGGTAAGTATCTATCCAGGTACATATATATAAATCAGATTTTGACTTTATGTTATTGCACAGTACCACTTAGCTATTAATAAAATGCAAAATTCTTTAACCACACATGATGTAAGCAGACTCCTCCCCAAAAATAAAACCCCAAACATATTTATGAATATTTAATCTCTTTATCACCATCAAAAAATGCACTGTCTCAGCCAGTAATGACTTTGAGTTTCTTCTCTGATTAATTAAAAAATTCTGATTAGTTAAAAAATTGTTACAAATTTGTATGAAACCTGGTTATTGATTTTTCCGGAAGTACACATCAATATTTTTATAGCCTGAAATTTCTACTACATATCAATATTTGTTTAGTCTTCTTCTACTTATTTGTACTCATTCTTTTTCTATTCACCACTGAATCAGCACCAGATTCCAAGTACTATTGCTCTATTTTTGGTTACAGAGCTGTGTCACATTTTATAGAGTACAAAAGGGCTCCATATTTTCATTGATATTTTTCTACCTTTTTCCTTTTAAGTCATGCTGCTTGTAATCTTAGTGACAGATAACAAACCGTGTGATTTCAATGTATATACAATAGGAAACAAAATAAATGGAAAGCAGTTTGCAGTTTCAAAGTCCAGTGGACAAGTGCAGATAATAATTATGAAGGAACAAGTACTTAAAAGGAGGACAGGCAGTAAATGGCAGGCAGTGTGTCATTGTAATGCTGCTAGAGAGGCTCTTAGCTCACATCCTCAGTCTGCCAATTCAAAACTGATCAGCTGGAACCTTGGAAGAGGAGATATTTCCATTCAGATTTATATTTGACCAATCATTAATCACATGCCATGTAGCTAACTAGGAAAAAGCAACTGATTTTCTTCTAATTTAAATGTTTTGTATAGAAACATTAAACACTGATTCCTGAATTAGTATTTTTCCAGGGTGATAATATCATCAAAAATAATGTAGTACTTGGCTCAGATTAAATGTGTGGTAAAAAGAACCACAGCCTTAAAACATTGAAGTCTTACACAAACACAGAAATATTCATATTCAGAAATTAAAAGGAGCTGGTAACTTTCCAAGCCACTGAACAACTTCAAACAGCTACCATTAAAAATAAAAATACTTTCCCACACTGAATATGAAATATTTAAAAAAAAAATGCTCCAGATTTCTCTGCAGTAATTTAGAGCCATGCAGTGGCTCTAATACTTTACCAATGTCCTACAATGCATCTGTGTACTTCAGTTCTGTATAAAAAGGGCAGGGGGAAAGCATCAGAGATTTCTTCACTAAAAAGAAGAGTTTGATAACAGGCTTTTTATTCTTGTGATTAGATTTTGTATTACACAGTCTGCACCCTCCTGTTTAAGAATCTGAAAACAGGCATTTTCTGGTTTACATTGAAACACAGGAGTCTTGAATATCTCTTCAGCTGCTTCCTAATGTTTGTTCCACAGGAAGGGAGTTAGTTCGTAGCACAGTGTGCTTTATTGTATCTGCATCAGCAGAGCAGATAAGCTCAGCCTCTCTTCATCTGAAAAAGGAACAGAGGAGTAGCACCAGGAGACAGTGCAATACTTCAGGATATTGTGAAGATTTCAAGCAATAAGACAACTTTCAGGTAAGCAGAAAAGGTCCTCTGCTACTTACATTCCTGTGCTGCTTCTCTAACTGCTAATTTTGGCGCTGAAAAACTCTTTCTTGGTTATGTTAACATACATTTTAGTGCTGGGTATTCCCTTCATGAAGAAGATGGCTCTTCACCTCTGTGACACGTGTGGACTGGCATCATATGGAAGGGGCTAACAAAATCTGAAAATCTGATGCTGAGATTTGGCTACTTATGTACTTTGATTACACTACAGTTCTTTGAATAGAGACCTTATCATATGAAAGGGCAGGCTCCTCGTGAGTCCTGGCACGTTTTCTGTTTTGGCAGATCTCTCCTTAGAATTCAGGGAGGCAGAAGATACTTTTCAGGTCGCAAGCATCATTTATAGCTTCTTGGGAGTTTTCCTGGACTGTCTACACTAGCACTTAGTAGAAGGCCTGCTGCAGTAGGACTGATGGCACTAAATCAAAGCACTGACAAAGCTTCTAAAGTACAATTCTACTGTGTGCTTCCTGTGAGCACTTTTTCTCCTACCCTCTTTAACCATCTCTGTTCAGGGCTGAGCTTTTGGCACAGTCATTGACACACAGCTTTGTCAAGTTTCAATTTGCTTAGTAAAAGTGTGGAAGTACAGGATTAAAAGCTTGTTTATCACAGAATTTCTTTGCTAGCACAGGGCATCAAAGCAAGTTGTTCTGTGGCAGTGCTTTTTCAGTGTCACAGGGAAAGTGAAATCCATGCCAGACAATGCAGTGCATCAAGCCCAGGAAGCTGCAGGCGTTTTTCTTGTAAACTTCTCCTTTCATAGTTAAAATCCCAGACACTACAAAATCCCTGCCGTGTGGTGTTTCAAATGAGGTACAGCAGGAATGGCAAAAAAAGTGGGCATGCTTTGCTAATGAGGGCAAATTGTGCTAGCTCTTCACAAAGAATAGCATATTTCCACCCACATCAAACCTGATAGATGTGGAAAGAGAACAGAGAGAGGCTACAGTGCTGTTTATTCTCTTCTGCTTACCTCTGTCTGGCGTCTTGTAGACACCATGGATCATACTGTGTCTGATCCTGCCCTCATAAAGAAGGACACTATTTTGTGTGGAAGTTGGATTGCCAAAGGGGAAATGGCAGTAGTCAGATTCTCACCACACACCCAAACATAGTATGGTCTCAGATAACATTGCTGCTGGCTTTAACAGCAATAATATGATTGACAACAATCAGCTTGTGGCCTTCATTAGGTTCAGGAGTTTGGCTGTTGTAAACTGTAATATTTTACAGCTACTATTCGGGGTATTTATATGCATTTTCAGACACTTCTGCAGTGTATGGAGAGCATCCATTTGGGGGTTCGCAGTATATAACAAATTTTGTAGGTTATATAGCATTCAATTATGCCAGACACTTTTTCTAGTATTAGACTTCTTTTCCTTAAATACTTTCTATGGTAACTTAATAAATCATTCCTCATATTCTCATGTTTAAATTATATTCCCATACACACTGCATCCATCAGAGTTGATGAGAGTGCATGCTCTAACTTCCAAAGAGCTGGCATCTCACAGCCTCATTACAGGAACGTATCTAGAAGATACAAATGCTTTCTAAAGATCCAAACAGCAAAGCTCCCTGTGACTTATTCACTTCCTGCTTTCCTTCAAAAGCAGCTGAAAGAGGCACTCTGCACCTGTCTTCTCCTTGTGCTGACATCTGTTTTTAAATGAGAAAGGAGGCAATGAATGTTAAGCTGACGGGACTGACTTTATGATTGCAAGGATTCTCGACTTGAAGAATGAGTTCAATTCCAGTGCCTTTCACCTTCCTTACTACACAGGGAGACAAAGAGAGCATTCATAGACACAACACATGTGACATGGGGCAGTCCAATGGCATTAGAAAACAGTTCAGTGAAACATTAATGAATTTACAGTGATGACAGCACAACAGTGCCAGGATCTAATCTTCTCTGTGCTAAGTGGTTTTCAAAGTAACCTCAAACACAAAAAAACAGTCAGGACTAAAATCTTTCCTTTTCGGACAAAATATATTCAGCTGCTTTTCTTTTGAAAGCAGTAGCCATTCCCTTGTTTGCTGTGTCACTAGTGTTTCTCCAGTCCATGTACTTTCTCAGGTTCTTCTCACCAAGCTCAGATAAGACTCTAGTTTTTCCAAGCATCTGATGGTTCAAACATATTTTTCCCCCTAATCTCCTGTGCTTCACGCTGCTTGCCTCAACAGCTGTTTGGACTGAGATATAGAAAAATCTTGCACAGAAAAATAGATTTTATGATCTTGTCTATAGCACTACGCCTTTAATCTAACCTTATATTCACATCCTTTTCTTCATCATTTTACCTCCTTGCTGTCACATATCTGGGCTTAAGTATTTGAATGAGGAGGATATCTAAGGTGTTAAGTCAGATGTCAGCAAGGTTCTTGAGATGAGGAAAGATGTGAGCACTGGCTGTTTACACAAGATTTTATCCTGCCTCACTGGCATCAAAAAGGTTATTGCCATTGACTTAAATAAGCCTGGTGACAGAGACAGAAACCTCTGTTAGAATGTCCATTTCCAGAATCTTGAAGAGGAAGCTGTTGGGCATGAGGAGATAAATGCATTTGGGAGCTTCTCTTCAGAGTCTTACCTAGAACAGAGGTCATACTTTAACATTCACAAAATTATTCACAAGATTGGTAATTTCATTGTAGATATCCCCTCATAAGGAGAACTATGAGTCTGTACTTCATGCAAAGTCGTGCCAGATTTCTAAAATTTCTGTGTTTTTAAATATATCCCATGACATTACTCTGAAGAAATAGGTGTTCTTCCAAATGCTATAAAGATACATATTATAAATCATATTATAAATTCATTTCCAAGGAAAATGGGTAATGAAACAGACAAGGAAGGGAACAAAGAGGGAAATAAGTGTCTGTATGCTTTCAGGGATGTGCTAAATCTAACTTATTTCAGTTGCTTAGAGAAAGGGAGGCTGGGGTGGGAAAACATGCACTGCAGTCTGCAGTGTTCCTAAAGATTGGGGAAATACAATGAAGCTTGCCTTCCTTTAGTGTAATATCAGTAAAGCCAAGCAGCGTGGGCTGCAGTGTAGACCAGCTAATTGCATAAATACCCAAAGGTCTGGAGAGACTGGTATAGCAGAGCAAAGGACTTTGTGATGTGTACCCAAGTCAGCAAGAGCAGAGGCACCTTTCATAGCAGGCAGAGTTCCTTAGTAGAGCAGTAAGGGCTGAGACTGCACTCCAGATGCACTGGAGCAGTTTTCTTACAGAAAATGTGACTCTAAGGACATTGTCATGAGAGAGGAGCTACGGAAGCAAGGCAGAGCAGAAGTGTATCCACAGAAGTTTATTTACTCCCCTATCTGCTTGTCAGTTGATTTCAGTGGGAGTTCTTATGTCAGCAAGGATTGCCGGGAGAAGACAAATCTATCCTCTTTCTATCAGAAATGCTTTGAGAATCAGATTTACAAAAATGTATTATATAGGATTGATTGCCTTCATTAGCCTCATTTCAGTAATATTATTAGATATAAATCACAAGATAATTTCTTATGGAATTATATTCTTATTAATATCACAACATCTTCATACCCCCACCAGTTATTATATTCATCTTCCATATGCTGGAAATCCCAATAAAATTAGCTAACTGGACACTAACAGCATGGCTGTATCTTTCACTCTCCCATATGTTCTGGCATCTTGTTTTTATCTTACTTTCTTCTTTATTGGGTTGTTCTGTTGTTTTTTGGGTTTTTTTAAGTTGTCAAATTGTATTGCAGAGCATAGAATGCTTTTCCAGTCCTTACAATCTCTTATACATTAAAAATGCACTAGAGAAGATATCACCTACCTCAATTTGCTTTAAAATGTATTTTTTTCATAGCTACTGAAAATAAGACTCATGAATGCATTAATCATAAACAGAGTAAGTGGTCTAGGCCAAAATTTACTAGTAAAAGAATGATGGGAAAAAATAGTATAGCTTTCTTCTTATGTTTGGTGTTCAAAACAATTCATTGCTGATAATAGTTATAACACTAATAGGAACTTGGAGAGAAAATAAAATTACTTTGTCTAATCCAAACCTGGGAGAAAATTAGTTTTCCTAAACAATGAGAAAGCTGCTTTCCAAAGTGGTTTTATCTCTATGGAACTGGTACAAAAGTCATGCTATTACATACTCCTTCTCTTCAGTATGTAAAAGGCTGGGGGAGATATTTTTTCACGCATATTCCCAGGCCTGCTCTATTCCCTTAGTGCTTTGTGAGATCAGCACAAAAGGTCTAGAAAGTAGGCTGGAAAAATCAGCTGCAGCTTCTCCTTGAGAAAAGGGCTCCCCAGGTGCCTCAATGCCAGCAGAGCCAGCTGTTCCCCACCAGCAGCTCACTCCTGCTCTCCAGCAGACTGACGGACCAAGGCCTTCATGCTGACTGTGATCCCTACCTGGGGATGGGAAAGCCAGCCTTCAGGGAATGCAGCTGGTGAGGAGCAGCAAAGCATCCCCCAGCTACCCCAGAATCAGGTGCCAAAAGATCCCTGCTGTCTCCCTGGATGTCAGGATCTTACATGCACTTACATCCTGCAGGTTTATACATTAATTCTTTCCAGCAGAACCTCTTAGCAGCAGAAGAGCTGTGCATCCAGACTGTGACATGGGTCTTGCTACAGAGCCAACACTTTTTGGTTTATTATATAAGCCATAATTTCACAGAATGGGTGAGGTTGGAAAGTACATCTAGAAGCCAACTAGTCAAAACCCCCTGCTCAAAGCAGGGTCGGCTTAAAGCAGATTTTCAATATCACAACTCATTGGGTTTTGAATATCTCCAAGGATGGAGAATCCACCACCTCTCCAGGAAACCTGTGCCAGTGTTAAACCACTCTCACAGAAATTATTGTTTTTCTTACGTTTAAGTGGAATTTCCTGTGTTTCATTTGCTCCATTGACTCTTGTCCTGTCGCTAGGCACCACAGAAAAGATCCTGACTCCATCCTTTTCAATCACCTCCACCAGTTCATACTGATGAGATCCCCCTGAGCTTTCTTATCTCATGGCTCAATCACCCCAATTGTCTCAGCCTTTCCTGCTAGGGGAGACACTCCAGTTCTTTAACCATATTTTGGCCCTGCACTGGACTCTTTCCAGTAGCTCAACATCTCTCTTGTCTTGGACAGCCCAGAACAGGACCCAGAACTCCAGGTGTGGATTCAGCAGGACTGAGTAGAGGGGCAGGATCACCTCCCTTGACCTGCCTGCAGCTCTCTTCCAAATGAAGCCCAGAAGGCCCTTTGTATTAAAGCTGCTTTTCAGCTGGTTGACCCCACAGCTTTTATGGGTACCTGCAGTTCTATGGGTTCCTTTGACTTGGCATTTCCCTTTTCTGACCTTCAGGAGGTTTTTCTCAGCATGTTTCTCCAGTCACAGACATTTGGTATAGCAGCCACTCATTCCAGTTTTCTATCATCTGTGAACTTGCTAAGGAAGCAGTCAGTCCCATTGTCCAGATATCTTATGAAGATGTTAAAGACTTTTGGCCCCAATATCAATCTCCAGTGTACACCTCTGGTGAGTGGCCTGCAGGTGAACTTTGTGTAGCTGATCACAGTCCAGTAGTTCAGGCAATTTTCAGTCCAACTCAGTCCTGTTATCTAGTCTGCACATCGCTGATTTATCAGGAAGGATGTTACAGCTGCCAGTGTCAAAAACCTTTCTAAACTCAAGATAACAACATACACTGCTCCAAACAATCTGTAGTTTCTTCTTAAAGAAAGGAGTGACAATGGCTTTCTTCCAGTCCTCAGGACCCTTCCCTGATGACATTTCAAGAAAGGTCCTGCAGTGACATTATCTCCCTCAGCAGTTGTGGGAGCATGCCATCAGATTGACTTTGTTCATTCTGGCTGTGTAGGTATTCCCTAATCTGGTCCTTTTCCAACAACGGCAATTCTTCCTTATTCCAGATGTTTCCATGTCTCTTAGGGACACATGGAGATCCCTGAGATCCCTGAAGATTGGTTTTACCAGTAGAGACTAATGAGAAAAGAGCACTAAGTACGCTGTTCTATTCTGTATCTTCTGTCACCAGGTTGCCTGCCCTGTTCAGCAGTTGGCCAACATTTTGCCCAGTCTGCCTTTTGCTGTTGATTTACCTGTAGAATCCTCCCTTTTTGCCCTTCACATCTCTAGCTAGATTCAACTCCAAGTGGGCTTTGACTTTACTAACCTGATCCCTGCATGCTAGGTCAGTGTTTATATTCCTCCCGTATCACCTAACTCTATTTCCACCTCTTGCACGTTTCTCTTTTACCTTTGAGCTTACTGCTCATCCATGCAGGCCTCCTCCCACCTTAGTTTTACTTCCTGCAAGTGGGGATTGACAACTCTTGAGTCTTGAAGAGGTGATCCTTGAAAACCAGTCAGCCCTCCTGAACTCCTCTCTTCTGCAAGAGACTGTCACAAGGCATTCTTCCAAGGAGGTCCCATTGTTTGCTTTCCTGATGTCCAGGGTTGTTAAATTTCTGTTTCCTCTCAGGATCCTGAGTTCCACTTGCTCCTGGCATTCACACTCAGGGGTCTGTGCTGGGGCCGGTTCTGTTCAATCCTTTTATTGATGACATGGATGAGGGAATTGAGTCTTTCATTAGTAAATTTGCAGATGACACTAAGCTGGGAGCATGTGTCAATCTGTTGGAAGGTAGGAAGGCTCTGCAGAGAGACCTGGAATGAGTCCAGTGAGATGAAGTTTAACAAGTCCAAGTGCCGAGTCCTGCACTTTGGCCACAATAACCCCCTGCAGCGTTATAGGCTGGGGATGATGTGGCTGGACAGTGCCCAGGCAGAAAGGGACCTGGGGGTGCTGTTCAGCCAGCTGAACATGAGCCAGCAGTGTGCCCTGATGGCCAAGAAGGCCAGGGCATCCTGGCCTGTATCAGGAATAGTGTGGCCAGCAGGAGCAGGGAGGTCATTCTCCCCCTGTACTCAGCACTGGTGAGGTCACACCCTGAGTGCTGTGTCCAATTCTGGCCCCTCAGTTTAGGAAGGACCTTGAGATGACTGAGCACATCCAGAGGAGGCAACAAGGCTGGAGAGGGGCTTGGAACACAAACCCTGTGAGGAACGACTGAGGGAGCTGGGGTTGTTCAGCCTGGAGAAAAGGAGACTCAGAGGTGACCTCATCACTCTCTACAACCTCTTGAAAGGTGTTTGTAGTCAGGTTGGGGTTGGTCTCTTTCTCCAGGCAGCAACTGACAGAGCAAGAGGACACAGTCTCAAGCTGCGCCAAGGGAAATATAGGTTGGATATTATGAGAAAGTTTTTTACAAAAGTACTGGAATCGTCTGCCTGGGGAAATGGTGGAGTCACCATCCCTAGATGTGTTTATAAAAAGGCTGGATGTGGCACTTGGTGCCATGGTTTAATTGAGGTATTAGGGCTTGGGTTGGACTCGATGATCTTGAAGGTCTCTTCCAACCTAATGATTCTGTGATTCCCAGCCAGTTCATCTTCGTTTGTGAAAATCAGATCCTGCAGAGCATCTCCTCTTCACCTCCTCAGCCACCTGTATCAGAAAATTTATTATTATTATTATATTATTTTTATGTTATTGTCCTTCAATGCACTCTAGGGCCCTCTTGGATTGCTTCTGTCTAGCTGTATCCAGCCATTGCAGCAATCCAGCTGTGTGAGTGTGATTTGCCTCTTAATCTGAGATTTCAAAAATCAGACTCCATCTGCTGAAGAATTCAAAGGTGAGAATTTTCCCTTTTTTTACTTAGTTTCCAAACAATTGGCAACAAATGGAAAGTCCATTTCTCAGTACCATTGCAAAGCACATGTGTTATGGTCAAATATATCCTGTGCTACTGTTAGTTTTGTAACAAAGAAATGTTTCCATCAAAAGGTGCTTATCACCAAAATTAAACAGAAATTATAAATGGCTTGCTGATATTTTTCTGTGAGCCAGTTTTTAAATGGGTCACATTGTTCTTTTCTTTGCTAGCAACCTAAAATAGAAGTTATTATATCAACAGTGGTTTGCACATAATAAAACGCTATCTGAAATTTAGTTTGGTAATTTTTCACTTGAAAATTAAGGCTAAAATCATACCTTTATTGTAAATTATGATTGTATACTTTCTATTTTTCTATTTAAAAGCTATATTGTTGGTTGTAAAAACTGCAGTCGTATTTCTGAACAGTGAAAATTATCTTTTGTTACTGGCAATAAGAAAAATAAATATTCGTTTTGAGAGTATAACATTATTGAGATTTCTTTTTCCTTCATGGGCCAGATTTTCTGCTGGCGTATTTGATGCAATTGCCCAGACTCCACTGTGATTTCACCAGTTTTTGTTACAGAGAACACAGGATATTTTTTATTATTGTTATAATTTTTAAAAAGTGAGGATAAAATTTAAATAGAAGCACTGACAGCATTTTCTTTCACAGATCTTGGATTTGAGAGGCTATTTATGAACATCAAACTGTGGTCCATTTCTCCCAGGAGTATCGTGCAGCTGCACAACTGCAGCTCTTCAACAGCAGGGGAAGTATGAGATATCCACAGACACCAGTAAAAAACCGGGCACATGAAGGCCACACAAGGTACACAGAGCCAAGAGTCACCAGCACCGCCAGGGGAAAGGGTTTTTATGCTCATTGTGGAACACTCTGAGAAAATGGAAATTCCGATGTGCACAGGGTGCAAGTTGTTTGGCCCAGCTCAGATTTGTGCATCACATCAGTGCTGGTGAGGACTGTGCTCAGGCAGTGCCATGTGAGGCTGTAGAGAATTCCTTCTCAGAGAATGGATTTCCTCACTACTGTGTAAGCAGCTTCTGTTCCCACTCAGCCCTTAGTTCAGGATTAAAGGGCAACTCAGGGTTCCACTTCGGTGGCTGAAGTTAAAGTAAGGCTAAAATGGTCAAAGCCATTTGCAGCAATGAAAAGCATAATGAGGGAAAATAAAGAGGTCTTTCCACCACATGCTGAGGAAAGAGGAAGTGCAGGAGAAAACAGACTCAAGTACAAGGTCCTGACTATACCTGGCACCATATGTTAGACTCTTTGGGGATTCTTCAGAGAGGTGAACTTCACTTGCACTGAGATCAATGAAAACCTGTGCATTCAATCTGTTTCTCATAAAAAATAAGTCTGAGTCTCTCCAGTGTGCAAGTCAGAACTGTCTGAAAGTCACAGGGAAATGAAGGGCTGAAAGGCTAAGAGTTTTGTGCTTCTTTTTCTTTTTATACACATTTTATTCCCACAGATCCTATGGGAAGCACAGGACTTCAGCACAGGGACAGCCAAAAAGATTCAGGGCTGTTAAAATAGTAGCTTGTTTAAATCCCAAGATAAACTAGTTGTGCTAAATTAATCTATGAACCCTCACATCAGATCTAGAGCCTCTGAGCAGTACAGATATTTTGAGATGATCTAATTGTGGTTGGAGAGAAGGGAGAGTGTGGGCACGAGTAACACTGTGCTGTGTACAGCAGTGGGGCTAGCACACAGCACAGTGCAAAAAGTTGTCACGGGCAACACAGCCAGAACACCAGTGAGCAAAGATACCTAGGCATTTCTAAAACTTAGTTGCCGGAATAATCATAGAATAGCAGATTTGAAATGCTTGCTGGGAAACTGAGGAAGATGTGTAAAGAAAAATGGTGAGCTTTAGGAAGTGGTGGTAGGATTGGAAAGAGCAGGGAAGGGTACCCTTGCTAACTAATAGATTAATAGACAGGAATTATCTCTTGTGGGACTTTTTCCAGCTCTTCAACAGGAATCAGAGACCCCCTGGGTGGCTTTGTTTCCTAAACTCAGGCAGGACCAGTTAAAAGCAGTGCCTCTCACCACAGTGAATTAGAAGATACAAGTACTGCCGTCTTTAACATGTGTTGGGAAGTGGGGGACAGGATTTGACAGGTGAAGGCTGTGTCAGGGAGCTGAAGGAGATGAGTATTTGGGGAACACCAGGGTGCTTCTGGACAGTGCTCATTTGTGAGTCTGGCACTGTCAGATGCTGTGGGGTTGGGAGCACTTCATCCATCCCCACTCACACCTAGCCTAACATGGCACCACAAATCACCTGAAATCATCTGGGTATTGCCAATATAATCACTAACACCAAACAAGAAGGCAACAGAGAAGAATTCTAATGTACTGCTGGGAAATGTGGAATATGTAGTATATTGCTATATCCACCCTCATTGGGTGGATGACATTTAAACACTGAAATGGATGTTTTTAAAAAATTCTGAACAACAGTTTTGTTTTTATCCCTTTGCACAAACGGTGGAAAACATTTTTTTTAAAAACTGCACTGCAGACAGAAAACAAAATGAATAATGATTTTGCAGTTTCTGACTCCTTCAAGATGTGATTGATCATTACATTGTCACAGGTCAACCTCTGCCACAGAAAAACTCCAGATAATCTTCAGCTGCATTTCCTAAACCATTAATAGGATAGACAAGGCTAAGATAACAATGCACAATTTATTTTCCAAAAGCAGCTGACAGGAGGAAATGGACACCAAATGAATTAACTCATTAGAACAGTACGGCACATTTGGAAATTCAAAACAGGCTGCCTGGAATGATTTAAATCTACCACGAGGTTAATGTCAGTCCCTTGCTTAGGCGTGTCAGTGTTGTAAACTAGTGATCCGGTTTTAGAAAGGTTGATGTGTGCACGCCCTGGGACTTGTGCCTTAGGGCGGCCTGGACTTAATTGATTACATGACTTGAATACCACCTACTGTGGCCCCCACAGGTTGCATAGTATGTGCAAGGGTTACATTCACATGGACACACAAAAAAACCACACAGACGTACCAACACTTTCTAATATAAACAAAAAATATTTGTTATCTTCTTGAGAATCATTATTAAAAATAGCAGGTATTTTACACGCTGTAAATACATTCTGCTTTTAAGGAACTGCATCTATATCCAGAGAAAAAAACTTGGCAGTTGTCTCAAGGGAGCAAAGTTTCTCTCATGCCTGATTTATAACCAACTGAGAATTTCTCAGAAATTGGGTTTTAACATTTGTCAGCCACAAGTTGTCAGCCAAGCCTATTTTCTCCTGGTAAGTTCCCACCTGTGTCTGTTTCATAGTTACAGCAGTATATTTTTAGAAAATTGTGGACTTTTATTCAGCATACCAGACTCCATTACAGCACTGCTAAGGTAATATCTACATTTATAGCTGTCATTAATATGGTATTTAAGAGCTTTAGTTGCTTTTTTCCTTCACAGGGTAATAAGCCGTAATTAAAGGAGTCGGGGGCTGTATTACAGAAACATTTCCCACCCCATGTGTAGCACAAAGATTACTTTGCAAAGAGACAACTGGGAGCCAAAGCAGTTCAGAGTATTTCACATATTCATGTCAATAGCACAATGGCACTTGTCATTAAAAGAACAGGATTCTAACACAATTAGTTGTTCAATCACTGTATCTGAAAATGGCTTAAATTTGATTAGTGTGTGCAGATAATGGGGACTAGACAACAGCATAGAAATAGTCCTGTTGATTTATATCTGAGGAGTCCACACACGATCTACTGGCAGCAGCTGTAAAAAGCTCTTTGCTTTCCTTTTGGCACAGAAATCACGTGGAACAAGGGTCATCCCAAAACAAAAGCAATTCAAGCAGCCTATCGGAGAGGAAGATGAGGAAGGAAGGAGGGAAGGAAGGAAGGAAGGAAGGAAGGAAGGAAGGAAGGAGACTTATTTCATCTTCTGCACTGGAGATCGTTTTTACATCATCCCAGATTTTGCAATACACCATGGCAGGGACCGTGAAGCATGAGTTCATCAGGAAAGGGCACTTTCATTAGCGCTGCTGCAGTGTCTGCTCTCAGATGTCTGAGGTGGAAAGGTCACAGCCACAGACTTCACAGCACCACTATCTGCCCTGTCTACACCCACCCCTGGTTATCCAGAGTTGTGAGGAAGGGAGGTTAAATGCTTTCCTAAGAGGTGTGTGTTTATCCTGGTGGCACACGAAGAAGAATCCTGTTAAATTAAGCAGCTCCCTTCTTAAGAATGGCAATTACTGTAAAGCAGAGATTAAAGTAAGATTCCATGAATTAGTGATCTGATTCATTTGGCAGTGATGTTTTACAATGTGTAGTGTCAAACACTACATAATGTCAATGATAAGAGAGCACATGAGGATTTACAATGTGTAATGACGTGAAATGTCTATGGTGCTCAAACTCTGGCTCCTTTGTTTGCAGGTAAACCACAAACTGGTTTACAAGATTTTTTCTCATCTCAAAAAAAAAAAAAAAAAAGAAAAAGGGTCAGCTGTACTGGAATGAGGTAAAAGTACAAAGGTAAGGGCAGGATTACTTCAGATCAGGGGATTACTTCATGTGGTCACAGCCCTTCTTTTCCTTGAGTATCTAGATTTAGTATGATTTTCCAGTAATCTTCAGAGGAGTGTTGAAAGTCCATTTTTAAAACTTTATAGGATTTTTTTGTTCTTTAATTGAATTACCCACATACATGTGTGTGCACGCACACATGCGCACACACACACACACACACACACACACACACACACACACACACACTTTTGACCCCTTTCATTATTCAGCTAAAGGCTTTAGTGGCCCCAAGTTACAGCACTCCTGAAATTAAACGTTGGTATTTTATGGAAGCTATCTTGCAAATTCTTGCAGAACAGATGTGTGATTCCAATTCATACAACCTGCCAGCTCTGTGAATTGAGGGTCCGAATCAGACATAGTTCTCTTCTTTTATTTTCTCTGGCTTAAAACAGCTCTCTGAGATCAACTTCATCCATGCAATTGTCCCAAGGAGAATTGCTAAGTTTATCTGACAGATGCAAAAAATCTCATGTTGTCACAGAATTCCCCAGTGTCTACTCAGCACCAGATGTCAAAGAATGCAAATCTACAGCTGGGTCTGGTGTTCTTTTGTACTCCAAATTCCCTCCCTCCCAGCTGTTGTTTTCCACTTTCATGTACATAGAGTTGAATTTTCAGAAGCAGGAGGTAGACACTTATGGCTTCCTATATTGAGATGAATATACATATTTCTTTATTTACCTGGAAAATATCTTTTTTAGTTGAATAATGGTGTATTTGTGAGGGTATGTTTGCGTATGCTTACCGTCACTATTGAACACAACCTTAGTCATCTTATGAATACAATCTCTTCTCAGGAAGTTCTCTGGAACTGGAGTTGTCTTTCCAAGTAGCTGTTTAGAGGTACAGAATAGGATTTTCACCCTTGCTTAGGCCTCCTGGGCACCATGGAAATAATAAGCATGACCACAGTAGTACAAAACAAATTGCCTATATTCATAAGCAACTGCAGAGCAGTGTTTATTCAGTCATCTGGGGGCCCTTTGCTGGCTATCCTTTCTGTCCCTCAGAAAAAGAAGTTCTAGCCTGGGACTACAATGACTGGTTTTAAATTTTGCTCTCCCTCATGTAGATATTTCCAGCCTGCACAGCTTTTGAAATATTGTCAGACAATAATATGTCTGCAAGAGCTGAACTGATTTTTCCTTTTTTTTTCCCTACCAAATTGGGAGGAAAATTTGAAATAAGAAGTAAGGGTTACTACAGCAGTCTACATTAGTTTTCCTGAGCTTCCTGTAAATGAATTCAGAGGTTCAGAATTTCTAAAGTTCACCTGCAGTGACCTCTAGTGTAGTTTAGATTTCTTTTTCTTAAATAAAGGTAGCATGCATATGGAGACTTTCTACTTATTTGTGTGATGATCTTCAACTCACTGAGTTCTCTGTTGTGCAGATATTAATCATAATTAAGAAATTATTTCGT